ATCCTATTAAATAAAGTTCAAGTTAAGCATGTTTTGGTGGATCCAGGTAGCTCAACGAATATTATCCGATTGAGGGTCGTGGAGAAGATCGGCCTACAAGATCAAATCGTGCCTGTAGCTCGGGTCTTAAACGGCTTCAATATAGCCAGTGAAATAACTAACGGGGAGATTATTCTACCGATGAACATGGCTAGAACCATTCAAGATACCAAGTTCCACATGATCGAGGGCGACATGAGGTATTATGCCCTACTCGAAAGACCTTGGATCCACAACAAGAGAGCAGTCCCCTCGACTCTCCACCAAATGATGAAATTCTCGACGATGGATGGTGTAAAAATAGTATATGGGAAGTTGTATGCTGCAAAGGAAATGTTTGCAGTTGATGAGGTAACGCCGATATCGATGTTATCAACCTTGGAAAGGTCGAGCATCAAAGGTAAACAGGAAGCTAAATAGCAATCACAGCCACCTGCCTCGACTGAATCGGGGAAGTGGGGGATAGAAGAAGAAGATGATTTTCCAACTCCTCAAACTTTTATTGTTCCCAAAGATTCGGACGCCACTAAATCAACGATCGAAGAGCTAGAATAGGTTATATTGATCGAGTACCTGCCCGAGCTAAATGTATACCTAGGAATGGGATTAACCCTCAAACTCCGGAAAAAGCTTATTCAATTTCTTATTGATAACATAGATTGTTTTGCTTGGTCCCATTTAGACATGACAGGGATCCCAGCGGAGATAACGACACATCGGCTAAGCCTTGACCCTAGGTTCAAACCGGTGAAACAAAAGAGAAAGCCCCAGTCCGAGGTAAAGCACGCATTCATAACGGACGAGTTAACTAAATTTCTCAAATAGGGTCCATTCGGGAGGTGAAATATCCCGAATGGTTAGCCAATGTAGTCGTAGTCCCTAAAAAGGGAACAAAATTAGAATGTATGTAAATTATAAAGATTTAAACAAGGCATGCCCCAAATATTCTTTTCCACTACCTAACATCGATCGCATGATCTATGCCACGACTTGCCACAAGATCCTTACCTTTCTCGATGCATATTCCGGATATAATCAAATTTAAATGAACCTGGAATACCATGAAAAGACTTCATTTATCACCAAGTATGGAACATTGTTATAATGTAATGCCATTCGGGCTAAAAAAATGCCGGAGCTACTTACCAACGCCTAGTAAATAAAATGTTCGAAGAACAAATAGGTAAGACAATGGAAGTTTATATCGATGACATGCTAGTTAAGTCTTTGCGCGTAGAGGATCATTTCGCTCATTTGTAGGAAACGTTCGAGATTTTGAAGAAATATAACATGAAGCTCAACCCCGAGAAATGTGCTTTCGGGGTCGGTTCGGGAAAATTCCTGGGCTTCATGGTGTCGAATCGGGGGATCGAGATCAACCCAAGGCCATCGAAGACATCACAGTCGTGGATAGTGTAAAAACCATGCAGAGGCTAACTGGACGGATAGCTACTTTAGGCTGATTCATCTTGAGGTCGTCGGATCGAAGCCACAGATTTTTCTATCTACTCAAAAAGAAGAACGATTTCGCCTGGACCGTAGAATGCCAACAGGCATTAGAGGAATTAAAGCGATACCGGTCGAGCCCGCCACTGCTTCACACTCCAAAGGCAGATGAGAAACTTTACTTGTACTTGGAAGTATCAGAAATCGTGGTAAGTGGTGTCATGGTTCGAGAAGATAAAGGTATGAAATTTCTCGTTTATTATGTAAGTCGAACCTTAGGAGAAGCAGAAACTAGATATCCACACTTAGAGAAATTGGCACTTGCACTGATACGCGTTTCTAGAAAGTTAAAATCATACTTTCAATGTCACCCCATATGTGTGTTAACCACTTACCCACTTCATTTATTTTGCACAAGCCCGAACTGTCGGACCGATTGGCTAAATGGGCTATCGAACTTATGGGTACGATATCGAGTATCTACCCTGAACGATCATCAAGTCTCAAATTCTAGCAGACTTCGTGGCCGATTTCATGCCAACCCTCGTACCCAAAGTTGAAAAGGAATTCTTGTTAAAATCAGGCACATCATCGGGGGTATGGACCCTTTTCATAGATGGTACTTTGAATGTAAAGGGGTCCGGGATAGGCATCTTTTTGAAGCAGCCCACGGATAGCAATATTAGGCAGTTTATAAAAACTTCTAGGTTGACTAGCAATGAGGCTAAGTACGAGGCCATGATTACAGGTCACGATCTATCTAAAAGCTTGGGAGCAGAAGTCATTGAAGCCAAGTGTGACTCTTTACTATTGATGAACCAAGTAAACAAAACCTTTGGAGTCCGAGAGGATAGAATGCAAAGGTATTTGGACAAGCTGCAGGTAACTTTGCACCATTTCAAGGAATGGAATTTACATCATGTACCTCAAGAACAAAACAGTGAGGCCGATTCACTTGCAAATTTGGGGTCATCGGTCGAGGAAGGCGAGATCAGCTCGGGGCCTGTCATTCAACTCTCGAGATCCGTGATCGAGGAATGTCATGCCGAGATAAACTTTACAATCTTAACCTGGGATTGGAGGAATAAATATATTAAATACTTGAAGAACGGAAAGCTCCCATCGGACCCTAAAGAGTTGAGGTCCCTACGAACCAAAGCTGCTCGATTCACATTGGCTGAAGATGGAACATTATACAGAAGGGAATTCGATGGACCATTAGCAATATGTTTAGGACTAGGAGACACCGATTATGTTTTACGAGAGGTCCATGAAGGCACTTGTGGGAACCACTCCGGTGCCAAATCTTTGATTCACAAAATCATTAAAGCAGGATACTACTAGGATAGCATGGAAAAAGACACTAAGGAGTTTGTTTGAAAATGTGATAAAATGTCAAAGGTTTGCACCAATGATCCATCAGCCCGGAGAACAACTTCATTCAGTCCTATCCCTATGGCCATTCATGAAATGGGGGATGGATATCGTCGACCCTCTGCCAACGGCCCGAGGTAAAATTAAGTTTATTCTATTTATGATTGACTATTTCTCTAAATGGGTTAAAGCACAGGCATTCAAGAAAGTGAGAGAGAAAGAGGTTATAGACTTCATCTAAGATCACATCGTATATCGATTTCGGATACCCATCGAAATAGTGTGTGACAAAGGAAAACTGTTTATCGGCAGCAAGGTAACGAAATTCCTCGAGGACCACAAAATAAAAAGGATATTATCAACGATGTATCATCCTAGTGGGAACGGACAGGACGAATCAACGAACGAGACTATCATTCAAAACTTGAATAAAAGGTTGAACGATGCTAAGAGGAAGTGGAGAGAAATTTTACCCGAAGTCCTTTAGGCATATCGAGTAACATCAAAGTCCAGTACGGGGGCAACCCATTCTCCTTAGTATATGGCTCCGAGGCCTTGATTCCGGTAGAAGTGGGGGAACCTAGCGCCCGATTTCGACATGCAACGGAAGAATCAAATCACGAGGCTATGAATACTAGCCTCGAACTATTGGATGAAAAATGAGAAGCTGCACTCGTTCGGATGGCTGCACAAAACCAAAGAATCGAGAGATATTATAATAGAAGAACCAACCTTCGCCACTTTAGAATCGAGGACTTAGTTTTGAGGAAAGTCACCCTCAATACTCGAGATCCGAACAAAGGGAAACTAGGCCCAAATTGGTAAGGACCATTCGGGTCCTCGGTGTCATTAGAAAGGGATCTTACAAACTTGGCACAATGGCAGGCGAACAATTGCCAAACAATTGGAACATATCACTCCTCAAACGGTATTATTGCTAAGGTATGACTTTTCCCTTTCCATTTGTATTTGATACTAACTTATTGCAGGTGTTCGATCAAAGACGGCGAGATGCTCTTCACGAGTGTCACACCTCTTTTTTACTACCCCCGGGAAGGGTAGTAAAGGAGTTTTTTCCACTTTAACTGACAATCGAAATGAGTTTATTTATATTGAATTCAGAGTCGCCACTTGGGATAGTTTATTGGTGTCCCAAGTCACCGGTTTAAAATCCCGAATCGAGAAAAGTTTGACTCTATTTTATAGTCCGCAAACACGGAAATCCGGGTAAGGAATTTTGTTAACCCAGGAGAAAGTGTTAGGCATTCCCGGATTCCGTGATTCTAGCACGGCCACTTAAACTATTAATAATTGGACTATTACCCGATTTATTATATGTTTTAGCCTATGGTGCATTTTTAACTTTAGAACCGCTTTTAATTATTTATTGTTACATATTGCGAATCATGTCACGGGAACCGTACCCACGATCTACAACATGTTTAAATTTTAAAGATTAAATTGTGGATGGGTCACATAGATGTACCCCGAATTTTAGAAATTAGGTGTCACAACTACGTCACTGGAATCATACCTGTAGCTATGACAATTATTTAATTAACACGCCTAAGCAAACTACGAAAGTTCAAGGCATTTCTAAACTAATTTTGTATTTATATGAGGGCCATAAATTAAAGGATTTTATTTGTATATGGCACACCCCAAATTATTTGATCTAAATTTGTGAGGGCCATGTGTTATAACTAACAAGAGGGACATGGGTAATTTTACCGAAAATGGCATGCCTCTAACCATTTTTAAAAGGATTAAACTTGATTAAGCTTAGGTTATTCCCATCCAAATTTGGGCCTGAAACGATCGAAACAGGGATCGGGCCAAAGGCGAGCCCAACATATTATTTGCATGCCTCTTCCATTCTGAAAAAAGAGAGGGACACCATCATTCATTGAGCCTAAATTTAAGCCCAGAAACATATCCTGCAATTGAACCTAAACGCAGGCCCAAACAAAATGAAATGCTGAGGCTAAAGAGAACCTATTGATCTGGGCTAAAATGAGGCCAACATGCAGCCAACCCATATACTTCAATTTACCCCTATTTGAATTGATCTATTAATGGAAATCATTAATTTTCCTTCAATAAATTCTGCACATCTTGACATAATAAGATACAGACTGAGAAAAGAGCAAGCATTGTTGTCATTCACATTAAACAATTATCAAAGAATAAGGATTCACTTCCAAACCTCTAAAAAACGACATCTACATATGAAAGGTGCTATGCAACTAATGTGACACACAGCAAGGCTCATGAACCATTCTTGGCTATTAGCTTTGTCATTGCTTGAAATTAATCTTGTCTTTAACATTATATGCAGCATATTCCAGGGCAAATTCTTTGTTCTATGTCCTTAACTTTCAATCAATACATTCATTGGCTTCATGCTCCTTTAACTATCCTCTCCAAAAAATTTTAACCTAAGAGAAAGCAAGATATTGTTCATCAGAAGTGCATGATGCTGACAACCAAAATCTTTAAATCCCAAATTATCAAACTATCATTTCATTTTAAGAACAATAAACCAAACAGGTTCACAAAACTTGACAGAAAGAGACTGAATTTGAGAGAAAGCTTCATCAGTAACAGTAGAGTCCTGAACGAGGATGAGAACAGTTTAAATCCACCCAACATTCTTCATCAAAGCGACCAATAAGTTTAGTTTCTAAACATACAACAAAACTGCTACAACATCTAGATAGGTTTGCTGCCAATAGTCATTAAACTAGTGGTGTGTGTTTTGTGACTTCAACTTTCAATCCTTAAATAAAAGCAGAACTCACAAAGAAAGTTACAAGCAGTATTCAAAATCATGCTTAACCAAACTGATTCGAAAAGTGATTTAAATTTAAACACCTAGTTCAACAAACAAACTAACACGAAATTAGCATTTGAAAGAGTGTGGGGAAATCTCATGTTATCTCTTTGAAGTTAGTTATAAACATAGCATACAAATTGACACTAGCGGTCATTCTCTTAATCAGTGCAAAACATGTAACCTCACAAAATTATTTCTTTTTTTATAGAACATGAATCATTCAAATCAAGTCACATGATTCAAAATCGAGAAAAATACCTTGATGTAGAAAACGGAATACAGAGGAAAAATGATAACAAGAAGAACGATTCAGGAGCTCAGCAATGTAGCAGCAAAAAACAAGAGAACCCGAACACGAATCCAAAGCTTTGAGAACTAGGAATTTCACTACCAAACTCCGAAAATTGTCTCTGATTTTTCTTTCGATTTTTCTCCGAAAATGAACTAAAAAAAGCTTGAATCAAAATCGAACTTAAACCATTGTGTTTTTTTTTATCTTTTCTAAAAAAGAAGCAGACTAAAGAAAAATGGCTTGAAGAAAATGACGACTTCAAACCCTAGAAACTCGACTCAATTTTTCTGAAGATTTTTCCTAATTTTTCTCTAACCTAACAAAGAGACTTACCTCATATATATAGCCTTCGAAAAATCTGCCCAAAATCCGAAAATCTTCGAGTCTTTTTTTTGAACAATTTTTTGGACAAATGGAAGGCGTGGATCGATTTACATCTATCCACGAGTTCCATTCATCCAGCAAATTGTCCTTTCGTACCCGAAATCGTGCAATTTTGAGAGAATATTCGTACTCTTCTGACAAATCCGTTGGGAAATAAGGTGACGTAGAGGGAGGGGACCATGTGAGTGAACTCGGAAACGAGTTAAGGCGAGTTGAAAGCTGAGGAAGATGAAGGAACAGTAGGGTGCGCTGCTTCTGGGTTAGGATTTAGGGTTTGGGAATTGGGGAAAATATTTATAAGGTGGTTTATATATTAAAGGAAATGGGTGGGTCAAAAGAACGGGTCAGATCCGGTTTTTTTGGACTGGGGCGGTGAATGTTTGGGCCGGACTGAATTGGGCATTAAAAGTAGCCCAAACTCAAATTAAAACTTTGTATTTAATTAACCATCTTTTATTCATTTTCTTTTCTTTTTCTTTTTCTTTCTTACTTTTTTTTAAATTGAAAATTCTAATAATTAAAAATCCTAAATTATTTAAAAATATGCAATTAAACTAATTAACAAATTATAAAAATTGTAAACATCACTTAATTCAAAATTAAAAGAGGAAAATCGATAAACTAAAATTAAAAGACAAAAAATGTAAAAATGAGCTATTTTTGTGATTTTCAAAATTTTATAAAGAAAATAATTATTGATTAATTCTAAAAATGTCTAAACAAATCCTAAATTCAATGCATGATATTTTGATATTTTTTCATGATTTAAATAAAAATTAAACATGTACAGGAATACAAATAATTAAGAAAATTCTATAAAAATTCCTAAGATGGCAAATAATTAACAGAAAATCTATTTTCTTAGGATTTTATAGGAGTACATCATATAAGGCAAAAATCACATGCTCACAACGAGGACCTTAGGTTTTAAAGCACGCGTTGCACTTTATTTCCTTAGATCGGTTTCTATCCCAAATGGATTTTGCCGGCGAGGTTTTTAACGAGACAACATTTATGTGCTACCTAAGGAAAATCCAATAATTCTAAGGCTTCTTTACAATCAACCTCAAATACTGGGTGGTATCACTCTTAGATGTTATATTTTCGAGGAAAGTACTTCATGTCAAAGGGTCTCGATAGCGAAACTTTATAGTGGGCCAAACGGTCTAATCAACCATGTCCATACAGATTAGTCAAGCCCCGATGGCAAAACATGTACGCATGTATAAATTATTCCAAGAAGCATTCTTCTATATCAAACATCTTGTGTCTCAAAGAAATTTTCTACTATATGAGCTTCATACTTATGATTTTGTGAGAAATGGCTCAAGGGCCAAGATAAATATGCCTCAAACACTCAGGGACTATCGTCGATGATCGACATATTCGAGTTATCTAAACTCGAATTCATAAGACCTCAAAGAGGCACCCCTCGATCTATAAGCCAAGGCCATCATTCTCGGGGACTAACACTTCAAACAAGTTCGAAGTGTTATTGGGGAATAAGCCCAAGAGACATACCTAAAGTCTACGGTCAAATTATGCGGCTCGGAGACATTCGAATCCCGCAATAAAAATAGGTCTTCAAATTCTTTGAAAAATTGGTTTAAAAAGGCTACCCTAGGCAAATAACAAAAGGTCTTCGATAAAATCAGTCCTCGAAAAACCTTAAGAGGTATCAAATTATCTTAACACAAATGTGCTAAGGCACAAAAAACAGAGGGGTTTCAATCGATATCAAACCCTCAAAAAATCCAATGGGTAAAAAATACATGCTAAGGCATAAAGAAAGTTTTGCCAAGTATTTTAAGCCGAAAGAGGAAAATAATAGCCATCTTTTAGAGGCCATATCGGCCCAATCTAAAGAGCCTAAGGGCCAATACAATTAGAGTTCGAGATCTTGTTCTCGCTTCATCCGAACCTAAGGTTTCGACTATTCCGAGCCCAAATAAAAACTGACTTGACTATGGCTCGGGGACTCATCATTATTCGACACAAACCCTAAAGGGCCTATGCTTCAAGTTCGAACCTTATTCGTACTCGACTGTGGTGAGTTCGAGGAAGCCACCCAAAACCAAAATCTCGAATGCACCGTTCAAATCATAAGATTGTGCTAAAAGTTTTACAAGGCAAAAAATGTGTTTGTAGATAAAAATTGAGAAAGCATTCAAAAGGGAAACTTTCTTTATATATATGGGCAAATATATATACAAGGGACCGACGAGGGTCTTACAAAAAAGAAAAGAAAAATAAAATCCTAACTACGCCCGGGTGCCACGACCCAAATTGGAGGGTCATGACTAGCACTCGGGCCATATTTGCCGAGCACCAACGTACATTTTATCTAACCTTCCTTGTTATCTTTAAGGGCCGATGAGATCAATATAAATGATAGACATGGATTATGAACAATCAATATTGAAAGATAATGGCATGAACATACATAACATAGGATGACCAGACATCCAAAAAACTATATATATGGTACGAGCTACCACGCTTCCATGAAAGACTATACAACAAACATCAACCGACAAGGCATACCAAACTATACATAAGTTGACACCTATATATAAGCTTCTAAAGGAACATAAGTGTTGCAACATTGCCGGAATAGGGCCCCGACATACCCATAATATCTATAATAAAAATGCATACCAAGACCACGACAAGTCTGGAGAAGGGATCTCACCAATAACCACTGAACTGGGCAGCCTACTGTGGTAGGGGAACTGCGTGTACCCGTCTATCAGGACCTGCAGCATGACATGTAGCGTCCACAAATAAAAAGGATGTCAGTATGAATAAAGTACTGAGTATGTAAGGAAGGAAAGCATACGTATGAGCAGTAATGTAAACCGGGATAGAGAATATACAACCTGTAACATCTAGGTACCTCTGAGGGCAACTGATATGAAATGCATGATACATACATATGTATACATAAACTTTTAAAACATATGCCTCTGTGGGCATCATCATCATCATGTCGTACCCGGCCGTAATAGGCTCGATAAAAACGTACACGACCATCATAAGGCTAGGTAGAATTGTACCCAGCCACGTGGAGCTCGGTAAAACCCAACGGATCAGTGGTTTCACAATAGGTACCGTATCCGGCTAACTGTAGCGCGGCTCCATAAAGTAAATACAACAACAATAAAGTAAATATATACATATATATAATGCATGATGGACTCATTGGAATCATATTCTAAACCTTTCGGAGTGACATAGGGTCGGTATTCTCCTTACACTTTATTAAGACTAACTCTTCATCAAGAATCTTATAAGAATCAGGAAGTACCAACAATATTGATAATATAAGAAAAAGAAAAAGCAACATTAATTGCTCCATAAGAAGGGAAACAATGTAAGTACTGCTAGCTTCTAAGAGTAGAGTACCTTTGGAAGCTCATTCATTACATCATGTACAATCGGAGTCGTGAAAAAGAAGGAAAGGGATAGCCTTACATACCTTGTATATACTTCCCAAAATCAAGCTATGCAAATTTCACGACTCCTTAGTCTACAATAAGAGAAATAACATTATCGTTATCGTTTAGGCGTCGTAACTATTATGTATCTACCACAACCTATTTTATGAGGAAACAGACATCACCTACCCTATTTATATGACTTTCCATAATTCAAAATAATCACTAGATAGCCCAAACAACATCAATAATAATCATATTAAGCCCCCCAAAATAGTCCACAACCAACAACACTACTACCAAGTCTTTCGATATATATTTCACAAGTTCTAGCTTCAACGACTTAGCCACAACTTGGATAATCTTAAAAACATGTAGAGTAAGAGGTTCCTTACCTTTAAACAGAAAGACAAACTCCAATTTGACCTTAATTTTCCACGAAATATCCCTCTGATGCTGCCACGAGAATAAGGAAGCAAAATTAGCAATAAATTAGGGGTTTTCGACACTAGAATCACTATAGAAGACTTGAAATCACCTAGGATTGATATTAAAAACTTGAGAGAGTATTTACAGAACATAAACCCCTTAAAATAACCTCCCACGCGAGCTGGAAAAACACAAAAATGAGTAACAACAAGAAGAACAAGAAACTTACTAGCACCACGGGATTCCCGACACTTAATTTGTGTTGTTTGCCCTTTGTTTGGGTCTTGGATCATGAGAGAAACTTGAGAGGATGTTCTTAGGGTTATAAGGTCTGAATACACTAAAAACATAACTTAAAACGGGGTTGAGGCCTCTTTTAAATTTATCTATATGTTTTAAACCGCCGGTGTGGGCCCCATAGAGAGGTGCTTGGCGCAGTCTCGCAAAAACACGAATATCTCTCTACTCTAAGATTGTATGGATGAACGGTTTAATGAGTTGGAAACTAGACTCATAGATATTCAATTTGGTGGGTAGATCACCCCGTAATTCCCAGTAAATTGAGAGAAAAGCTTAGTAATATTTGACCTAAAGTTTAAGTAAAATTATGAACGTAAGTTGCGCCAACTGTTGTCGACTTTTTTTCATAAATTGTTTGACTTCAAAACATAACATACGACTATCATATGAATAAACTAATTGATAACATAACCTCATTATCATGTTAATCACCCTAGTCTCACCCCAAAATTACATGTTATAACATTCCCAACTTGTTGAATTTCGACGAAACATTATTTTCTTCAATTCCTTTAGCTTCTGAACCTTCTAACCCCCTTTGTACTTGTTGTTCATAATTTTCAATATTTGTAACCTCCACGTTAATATTATTAACTAACTTTGTAAACTTTTCAAAGATGATTTCATTTTTGAGCTTACATCAATTGACTTACTACATACTCTTACGTACGAAAGAATGGGTGTAACACCGGGGTTGGTTTCTCCCTCAGGGGCAGCTTCTCCTTCGGTCCCCTCATCGTTATCAGACCCGCCTTGGCTGCCTTCATCGTCATCGTCATCGTCGGAGGAGACAAGTAACCTGGTAAAAGCTTCAAGCGCCTTAGCTTGAGCTATCTCTTTGGAAAGGTCAAAACCTCGAGCATGGATTTCCTCGAGGGTCTCCCTCAGGGATTGGCATTTTACTAAGTCATTGCTCCATCTCTCTCTATCAGAAGCCTCCCTTAGCTGAATTTGAGCAGCCTCGGCATCGGTCAGTACACAGCTATGGACTTGTCAACCATGATCTTCGTCTTCTCGACCTCCGCCTTAGCCTTAGCAAGCTCAGCTTCAAGCTTCTCGATTTTTTTGGCCTGGGCTGAGCTTTTCTCTTTAA